ACATGTATTTTCTGGTTACTACATGTGAGGCGACCATCTGAGCCTACAGGAGCCTCGTCAGCCAATGAGCAATTTCACCTCCTCAAACCCTAACTAACCCCAGATGATTTTAGGCCCCAGGGTTCTCTCTGCCTCAGTTTCACCTTAGAAGTTTTTCTAGGTTCTTGATATTTTGACATTCCCCAAGAAAGAGTAATATGGTTCCCACTGTCAACATCCTTCATTCATCACAGTTCCATTTGCTCCAAGGGGACTGCAGGGAATCCAAGCTGAAATGGAACTTTCCTGCTGGCCCCTTTCCTACAACAAGGCAATGGGAACCATCAATGAAGACACACAACCTCCCTCCCTACTCCTAGTTTATGTAATGCTCTAGAATGGATTCCAGATGCCCTGAGAAGCCCTCAGTCATCCCTGGTCTGAAGTCACGACACCATCTAAGGCACCAAGAGCAACAGCACCATTTACTGACACAGCTTCAGGACACCAGAAAGGAGGGTCCAAGGGTAGGCCCAAGAAACCACCACAACAGAATTACTGGCTGGAGTGGGGGGGGAGGGGGGTGCTGTTTTAGGGAAGCACTGGCCATCAGCACAAGAATCCCCCACAATTGCCTGCCGCACTAGCCATCCCCTGCTCCTCATAAGTACCAGCCGAGCTCTAGCTAAGGGCTCTGCACTGGCTGTTCCCCAATGAGCAGGATATCCAGATATCCATCTCAACATCTCTCTCAGGGGGGTGCTCCCCGACCAGGCTACTTGACAGAGCAATTCCCCACCCCACACTCCTCCCCCTTCTCTGATTCACTTTTCTCCATAGTACTATCCCTACCTGATATATCAAACGTTTTACTGAAGCTTATCCACTGCATTGTAAGTTCCTCAGGGGCACCATTTCAGTCTGTTTTGTTCACTGGTCTATAACAGCTAATACCTAGAACAGTGCCTGGCATTCAGAAGTATTTGTGGGAGCCAGCCCTAATGGCCTAGTGGTTAAAGTTCCACAGGCTCCACTTCAGTGGCCCAGGTTCGGTTCCCAGGCACAGAATCACATCACTCATCTGTGGGTAGCCATGCTGTGGTGGTGGCTCACATAGAAGAACCAGAAGGACTTACAACTAGAATATACAAGTATGTACTGGGGCTTTGGGGAGGGAAAAATAAAAAGAGAGAGGATGATTGGCAACAGATGTTAGCTCAAGACAAATCTTTCCCAAGGAAAAAAAAAAAACAGAAAATATCAGAGTGCTAAAAAAAAACAAAATTCTTCAAAAAAAGTATCTGTGAGATGTTGTTAAAGAAAAGCAAAGCTGGACACTAGTTAAAGGTAGTAAAGACAGCTTTTATTCAGTCTATACTGCAATAGGGGGAAGAGACTTCAGTACAGAACTGAGCTCAACTCCAATCCTTGCAGAGGTGACTGGGCATTTTAAAGGAAGAATGAGGAAATAAGGAGGGGAACAAGCAAAGCCAAGGAAGTGGAAAACTACAGAAAGCAGGTAGGGTGGTTGTTCAATGTCAATGCAATTAGGCCACCTGTGTCTGCTAAGTGGCACTTGTCAAAGTCAGGCTCCCACCCTCCCACAGAGTCTGGGTGACAGAGGCCTCATCCTTCCTAAGGATTACATTTCAAAGGAACGGCTTTCACATCCTTGAAAAGACACTCCTGGGTTGTAGGAGATGCAAAGACATCTCAAAGGAGCAGAAAAAGGATTCTACGTTTTTCTAATAAATGCTTAATACAAGGGAAGTCAGGGGCCTATCATCAGGTGTCCGCTGGAACAAAGGGTAAATTCTTTTGAAAAGCCTTGAGCTTTTCCAAACAGGAACTCAGGGTGGGCTGGGTCATCCCAGAGACCTGGCCTTAGGCTGCTGGAAGCCATGTTAAGAGTTTTTTCAAGTCTCTTAGCATGTGTGTGGAGAGGCGGGTGATGGACAAAATTGTGCTGAAAGCTGCAGTCCTTACAGGCCAAGGTTGAGGCCTAGTCAAGAAGTGGGCTCAGAGGAGCCTGACCAAAGCTGGCAAAGAAGAGAGTCTCTGTGGACGGGTGGGCGGACGGGGATAAGGATTGGTGGGACAGGGGTCAAGATGGTAAGACCTGAAGACATCCAAATTGAGATATGAAGTAGAAACCACGTCACAGAAAAAGGGAAAATCCTCCACTCTTTCAACAATTCCCTCTCAAACACTCCTGGTGTGGCCATAATTAGGTTCCCAATTACTCATAAAATCTGTGAAAGGGAACAAGTCACTAGCTCACCTTAGTCCTTCCCAACCTGCATTTGTTTCCTGCGGGATATTTTCCGGGCCTGAGTTTGCTCACTGTTTAAACTTCAAATTAGAGACAGATCCTAAGGAGTTTACAGAAAGATCTCCTATGGAGCTCTTGCTATCTGTTTCGATTAACATTTTATTAATGAAGCATATTTTGGCAGTTGATTTTTTCTTCCTTTCCCCTTGGCAGCTGCCTCTGAGATGCAGAAGAGCTTTAACCCACTTTCCTCCCTTCCCCACCCCCATCTCAGTTCTTCTCCGCCTCCAGCTCATACTCAGATCCAAAAGAGTCCCGTTCGTGCACCATCACAAGGCGAAGAGTTGGTTCTCTAGGTAACCACCTGATTTCCACGCAGGCCCACAGAGCCCCAGGTTAGAGCAATTTGCGCTTTCTCAGCAGGTCAACTACAATATTGGCCAGATTTCTTTTTTTGTCTCTTCAGGAGACTACAGACATTAAAATAAAAAGCATCTTTATAAGTGACCATTTGAACATAATTCCAAGGCAGGGCAGATTGGGGGTTTGTGGAGCCTTACATTTCTATAACGGGAAGTGGGAAAGGTAAGGAGAGTGTCCTCCTTATTTTAAAAAAGTCCAAAATTACAAATACAAACGTAGGTATGACCATGTGAACACTTTGCTTGTAGCCTTCCCAGGGGTTTGGAAGAAGCCTGAGTGAGGGGCCCTGAAGCTTAAGACTCATTAGCTTCCCTGTCAATCTGCCTCTGCTGGGAGATATAAAAGACTAGAGCGGTTTATACCACAGCATAAAATCTCTAGAAAACCGCTAAGCTAACAGTCTTATATTACATCCATCCTCTAGATGCTATTCTTATCTCTCTTTCACAAACCTCCATCGCTGCTGTTCCCTCTAATTTGGCAGCAGCAATTCATTATAAAAGTGCACGTGCTGGGCTGGGGTTGTGCATCCTTCCCCTGTTTGGGCTTTAACAATCCAGTACTGTGTCAATTACGTAACAGCCAAAACAGGGAGTTTAATGGAGTACAAAAAGCATAGTTGTAGTTCTTACATAAGCCTTCATAAACCATCCATAAGATCTGCTCCCACATTTGGGTATTTGGAATTACATAAGGTAGACAAAAAACCATTCAGCAGCCAAGTTTATTTCCACGCCTAAAAACAATAAAAGCTTTTTGCAAGTAATTTACTTGTCTATATTAACATAACACATTTTTAATTTGATAGTAAAAGTAATCTTTAATAAGACGATTATCTTTTCATGTAAACATAAAGGAATATCCCCACACTACTACTCAACTTCATTGTTGCCTCTGCACAAAGATATGTCCCACTTAGGACTCCCCTACGTATTCCACACGGAATTATGGGTCCCTGATAAACACCAATTTTTCCTCGCAGGCTTAAAAAAAATCAAAGAAGATATTTACGCAAAACACAAAAGTATACATGCTGTAATTCTTCAATATGTCTCTTTCCCAATGCCATTGTTCTCTCCCCATATTTCTACTCATTTTTTACTTACCTTAGCCCACTGCAGCCACCCCTTGGGCTACAAAGTGACAACTTAAAAGAAATAATGCTATCCAATGAGTCCCACCCCTGGCTGCACATTAGAATCACCAAAGGACCTTTTAACATTACAAACGCCACAGCATCACCCAAAACCAATTAGAATGGAATATTGGGGAGGGACAAGTGGGGGTGCCTAGACATCAGTGTATCCGATGCTTTCTACTTTTGTCTTGTTCTTGCCTGAAAAAAATAACCACAAATATGAGTAGAGGTTTTATGGGGGGAAGAGGGGAGCGGCGGGGGAGGGAATCTTTAATAACTGGCAACTCATAATTACAAAGTTTCCATCAGATATAAAAATAAAATTCTAGTTTGAAAGCCATAAAGGATATCTGTGGGATCTTTTTTATTACTATCAATGAGTAGTCAAAGAATTTTCACCAAGTTTCTTAATAGCCTTTACAAAACGTATTTTATTTTTAATGTTTTGCAATTCTACCTAATGAGTTCAAAGAAATGGCCCCAGTATATCTTAAAGCATATCTCAAGCTAAGACCATGCTTATCTTCCAGTGAAGTTTTGGTTTAAAGCAGAAATAATGGTTCTGACTTATCTTCAACCTCTCTTCTTAGGTGCTCTGGTAATCACTTTATAACTTTACCAACGAGCAAATATTTTTTTAAAGCACTTATATAACAGAGAGTACAGGCGCCTTTGGTATCCTGCCAAGAGTACTTCTTTCCGTGTTTGTATTTAAAATAGAATGGTAGTAACATCACTTGTGTGCCTGAAATTCCTTCTGTGCACAGGCTCAGAATGAAAAAAATGGATGTAGCAACCCGCTTCATTGCTTTACCATTATAAAGCTCAAAGGAAATAACACATTCATACTAAATTAAGACGAAGACAGAGAACAAATCACCCAAAGCTGGGGGTGGTGGGGAGGGACTCGGTTTAACTAACCTACCATCCCTTCTAAAACAGAGGATGTTTAACCTGGCAGCACGCGAGGGTGCCAAACGAGCCGCAGCACCTCAGCCGAAGCAGGTGATGTAGGCAGCAGAGAACGAGCGCTGCGCTGACAGAAAAGCCAAATAAATACTGCGCTGCCCTGAGCCCCGGCGGCAGTCACTCCCTAACTCCGTGCACCTGTCTTCCAGCGGGTTCCACAAGGCAGGCAGCAGAGCCCAGCCCGACCCTGTCGGACTGTGCAGAAGAGGATTCGCTCACCGAGGTGGGAGAGAGCCAAGAAAGATGTCCAAGCCACCACTGCCCTCAAAGAGACTCCCATCCTGGACCAGGTTCCCACACGCTTCCTCTTCCTCCTCCTCCAGCTCGAGTTTTCTATTTACTGACCGATCTGGACTCTGCTGACCGGCCAAGGATGTCCGCAAAAGGGGACCCGACAAACTTGCCAAGAGACGCCAGCAGAGGTGGCGCAGGTGGAGGAGCGGGGACGCCCGGGCACCTGCCGCCGGCCCCAAGCCCTGCCCGCGGCCCGCCCGCCCGCGCCGGGAGCGCCCCGCGCCCCCGCACTCACCTCGCGCCGCCCCGCCCAGGCCGCCGCCCCCGCGCGGAGCAGCCGGGGCACGCGCACGGGGACCGCGACAGCTCGCCGAGGCGCCGCCTGGCTCGGCCGCTGCAGCGGCCGCTCCTCCCGCCGCCTCGCCCGGACAAAGGGAAGCCGCGGGGCGGGCGGCGGCGAAGCCGGGGTTTCGGAGCGCGCTGCGCAGCCCGCGCGCCGGCTCGCGAGGCGCGGTCCGCGGTGACAGCCGCCGGGCGGCGCGCGGAGGGCGGCAGAGGCGCGCGCCCCGCCTGGCCGCCCCGAGACGCACACGCCGGGACCCGGGCGCCTCCTCTCGGCCCCGCGCCCCGCGGCCGCAGCCCGCCGCCCCGCAGCGCCCTCTGCCGGCCGCGGGGCCACGGTGCGCGCCGGCTGCCTCCACCTCGGGGTAGGCCTGTGGGCGCAGCGCCGGGGGCGGCCCCGCTGCGCCACCGCGGTCCCCGAGCGGGGTCCCAGCGACCCCAGAGGAAAGAAGGAGTAAGACTGAGGAGGCGGGGGCTACGGGTCAGGGGGCTTCGAGGATGGGATCCGCTGTTTTCCTCCTAGGACAGAAGAGGGAGCAGCTTCGAATTCTGTGCAGCAGGAGGAATTTGGGTTGAGCATTGGGGAGAACTTGGAGGGCGGTCGATTCCTGATGCACAAGGGGCCCAAAGTTGATCTCGGGAAATGTTTGCGGAAAAGGCCGGCGTTTCCTTCTAGAATCAGGTTTATTTCTGTGTTTAATGAACACCATATGTACGTAACACTGTTTGAGAGGTTCTGCACAGCCTTGACCGCTCTTATGAATAAATAATGACTTCTCGAAGGCCCTTCCAGTCCTCCTGAAATGCTCCCGGCTCCTGTAAGCAGTGCGCCTAGAAGGTTTGAAAAGGCGAGCAAGGTCAGAGAGCTGCCCCCTCTGGTTCAGACGGCAATGGAAGGCACATTGACCGTGACAAAAGGGAAACGATGGTGCGCTGTGTAGGTGGCGGTGTTTTTAAGGTAGGGGTGTCTTTTTGCAAACTACCATGTTAAGCAATATTTCATATCACTTAATTTTTTTAAACAAGCTGGGCTACTTGGTGAAGGGAAATCATGAAATAGTACTTTTTCCCCACACCACTGTCTTTTAAAATTGTTCTGTCAGATCTCCCTTCTCTGGAAGAATCTAGGGCAAACTTCATAGCTTTTCCTTTTCACTTTCAGGTGTTAATAAACAGTCTGATGCTCTGGTATTAAAAAGTCCTGTGCAATCCAAATCAAAACTTCAGTTTCGATCCAGATCGATCCCCACACCCCTCCCACCGCCCACCGCCCACCGCCCACCGCCCACCGCCCACCACCTCGCAGCCTGGCCCTCAGAAGCCTGCGTGGGGCGGGGAAGTGCCGTTTTCTTTCTTGTTCTGCATCGTCCCAGCTAGCCCTATGAAGACTGGTTCTCCAGGGTGGCAGGGTGGGAGCCTCCCCTGCACTAGGCCCTGGTCCTAGCTTCCAGGTCAACTTCTCTCCTAGGACTGTCCACCTCACAAAGACCCTCTGCGGGGTCACCAGGCCCTGGTGGGCAGACCCAACAACCTTCCAGCATGTGTGTGCTGACCCATAGCAAACACTTGGCATTTTTGCCCATCAGACTCTAGAAGCGCGAGTCAGTACCACTGCAGTCCACTCCCCCGTTTCTCTGATCACAAGCAGCTCTGACCAGCCTCTCTCCTTGAAACTTCTCATGTGTGATTCATGCAGCCATCGCTGGGTTCATGCATGTCCCCAAACCCCAGGTGATACATGCCAAGCTCTCCAAGCAGTTGGGAAGCACGCCTTTCCTTGCATGAAATGGCTAGGTACTTCCTCCTCTCCCTAACAGCACCCTGTTTAAGATGTGGAGATACGTGTCTCTGTGGTAGGCACGGAGGTGTACCGCTCAAGTCTTGAGAGTAAAACTAACTGACAGCCTCCAGCTGCCACACCTTTGGATCCACCACTGCCCTCCCACCAAGGTCACACATCCCCAGCCCATGGCTAGCATTGTGGGAGCACTCGAGCTGGGCCATTCTGCCTGATGCGAGACCCCTCTAATGGGCAGCCTTTGTTCCAGAACTCCCCATCACACTGCCAAGGCTTTCTCAGGACTGCACTGGAGTCTGAAGCTCTTCCTACCTGGTCTTCCTTCCCTCTCTCCTGTCGCAGTTCTCAGCCCTGCATCACAGGCTGAAGGCTCTCCTCACCTACATGCCAACCTCCTTCTTCCTCCAGCACTACCCTATACGGGCGTTTTCTCAACATCTCTTTTGCATATCTAATCCTTCCTGGCATCTGCCTCCCAGAGGGCCCAAACTGGCACAGTTGCCTATTGTTCTCAGCAGTTATCCCATAACATTCGGTTATGCTTGTATTTAGAAACTGTGAAAAGAAGAATAGAATGCTCTTTTGAGAAAAAGATACGATCAGCCGGTATCATAGTATGGGTTCCCCTCCCCCGCTTCAAGGCAGACCCTGATAGAAGGACTTGGTGCAGAGGGATTATTTCGGCAGGTGATCCCAGGAAGCAGGAGTGGTGAAATTGAAACACTGAGACAGAGAAATCTGAAACTTCAATATAGAAGTGTGTTACCAAGGTTGCTGCTGTACGCAACAGGCACTCAATACCAGCGGGATCTCTGAGAAGCATACGAAAGTCCTCCCAGAATTGTCATTTCAAAAACATGGGGCTGAGCATTTACCATCCGGCTCCTGTTCTCTGTGGATTGGAATTGTCTTTGGGGCTTTAACTCCCACATGCTTCCAGGTGCCCATGGCTTTAGAAAAGACCCTGAGGCAGAAAAACAGAGTGACAGCATCCTTGAGGTGAGACGCTGTCAACTTGAGTCCCAGCACACAAGGTACGTCAGAGCTATGGTTCAAGGTTAGTCAAGGAGACATGGTGCGGGTGTTAAAAGTGTCTGCTATCCAGGTCTCAGGAGTGTCTTCCCATTGCCTTTCCAGACTGAGGAGCATGTAGGTAGGCCAGAGGCATCAGCCATGTGCAATTCCGAATTGCTGAAATGCCAGTGGAAAAGGCAGCGGAAAAAAGGGTAGAGTGGTGTTTGCATGTTATGAATGACGCTTGGTAGGAGGCTGAGGTCTTAGTCTGCTCAGGCTGCTGCAACAAAAATACCATAGATTAGGTCATGTACAGACAACAGACATTTAATTCTCACAGTTCTGGAGGCTGGAAGTCCAAGATCAAGGTGCCAACAGATTCGGTGTCTGGGGAGAGCCAGCTTCCTAGACAGCTGTCGTTTCCTTGTAACCACACAGGATGGAAGGGGTAGGGGAGCCCTCTGGGGTCTCTTTCATAAGGGCACTAATCCTGTTTGTGAGGGCTCTGCCCTGGTGAGCTAATCATCTCCCAAAGCGCCTACCTCCTAATACCATCATATTGGGGGCTAGGTTTCAACACATGAGTTTTGGGGGACACAAATATTCAGACTACAGCAATTGGTTTACCACGCAGCCATATATTATTGGGAGTCAGTGCCTATGGGAAGGGAAGGGAACCAGGGTTGGGCAGAGGAGTAACTGGATTGGGATTCAAGCTCAACAAAGCCTCAGCTAAACCCGTGGGCGCTCTGAAGCACGTGCTGAGTGGTGCGCTGGAGCCCACTTGTACCAGCTCACAAGCACCAACTGGTTGATCTTTAGGAATTTTGTGAGCCAGTTGTCAAATACAGGCATTCTTAAAGATTAATTATATAAACTTAAAATTTTATATATGGTATATTAAAAACAAAATTAATAAGTACTCATCACTTCCATTACTTTGCTACCTGTATATATGCTCTTGAGTTTATTTACCACTAGCGTATCTATATGGTGGCAATACTGTACCATAGTGTACTATTGTGCATCTCTCTCCAACTCCACATTCAGTGATATCACTTTGATAGCTCGAAATCATCCACGGGAAGTGTATTTACACCACAGAAACTGGCAAACACTCCAAATCAAGGTTTTCTCCCCCCGCTCCCCAATGTTAAACATTTCTGATCACACCACTGTATGTATGACATGATCAGAACTGCCCCAGGCTAGGCTGAATGGCCAGATCTTTATGTCCCCACCAACGTCAGTCCCTGCATGTGGACTTTCTGGGGGAGGTGCACTCCTGGATGAGGGGGCCCTCAGCAGGTGAGGCCAATGCTGAAGGAGCCAGCCCAGCCGGCTGCTGACAGTGTTCCCAACAGCTGAGGCGACATGCCTTTCCTTCAAGGGGATGTGGACTGCACATCTCCGTATCCTCCACAGCTGGCATAAAGTCAGTTATAGTATTCTCTCATTAATTTTAAATACTTGCTGTGGGGCTGGTCCCGTAGCCAAGTGGTTAAGTCCCCGGGCTCCGCTGCAGCAGCCCAGGGTTTCGCAGGTTCGGATCCTGGGCGTGGACATGGCACCACTCATCAAGCCATGCTGAGGCAGCATTCCACATGCCACAACTGGAAGGGCCCACAACTAAAAATATACAACTATGTGCCGGAGGGCGTTGGGAGAAAAAGGAAAAATAAAAAAAATAAAATTTTTTTAAATACTTGCTGCTTCCGTAATTACATCGAGTACATAGCCTCGCTGTAAGTACTTCTAGTTCTTCTGTGTGAGCCACCGCCACAGCGTGGCAACTGACAGACGGGTGGCATGGTTCCACAACCAGGAACCAAACCCAGGCTGCCAAAGCGGTGAGTGCAAACTTTAATCACTAGGCCATTAGGGCTGGCTGTAGATGTGTCTTTTTTTAGTTAATCTTTTTTTCTTAATTCATTCTGCCTGAGATTTGTCTTTTTTTTTTGTCTTTTTGAAGACCCATCTTTTGACTTTTTTTACTTTACTGTATTTTATTTACAATTTTACTATTTCTGCTCTGATTATTATTATTTCTTCTCTTTTGTGTTTTTTGGGTTTATTCCTTTGTTCTTTTTTCTAACTTCTCAAGTTGAAA